GAAAAGGCCTCAACAATGGCGGGTTCGGTAATGGAAAAGTTTTCCTTGCACCAGTCTACGGTGCCTTCGGCAATAAAGGTTTTGGCGGACACTACGGAGGAGGGGGTGATGATGACAGCGATGACGATGGCGACGACTACGGCTCTCAAGAAGATGATGGAGATGATGAAGGAGACGAAGATTGTTATTACGGTTATGGAAAAGACGGGGAAGGGGGACACGGTGGTAACGGCTATGGAGGTCATGACGATTATTATGGCGGCGGTCATGGAGGTGGGAAAGGTGGCTACGGAGGTGGCTACGGAGACGGCTACGAATACGATTACCACATGGATGGCCATGGTGCTGGCGGGGACAAGTAAATGCGTCGTTATAATTATGATGAATGGGGGGAAATTACGGTATGGTTACAACTTGGGTGGGGATCATTGTCGTATAGTTGTGTGATAAGCCGGGGGGCGGGGAATAAACGAGCGTATAATCACACAATAGGTTACGGGGTAAACGTTTGTGTGATTTCGACATAAATGTGCTAATTAATTATCAATTTTACGGACCGCTGTCTCTTGTTTTGTTCTGGCAACTTTACTTTGATCGTTTGCTAAGTGTTTTTCTAAAGACGGCTGAGCTTGGTTTGTAGGAAGATTCAAACCGCAACTAATTAAAAAAAAAAAGATTTAATAAGCTGATGCTTATACCGTATTTTTCATTCTTTAGCTATGTTTTGTTTGGCTTTTCGCTGCAGTTCTCAGTGGTCAGCGTGCTTTATCTCTCGTGCCACCTCAATAGCTTCACTTGTTAACACACAAAAAACGCTCAACAAAACAACCTTGGGATTCCTTAAGATCTGATCATTTGTTTTCTGTCTGTTACGCTAAATACACGCTTCTTGCGGGGGCTATTGTTTGTTCGCAGGATAGGTTGACATAACATTTTCACCACTCTTTGTAACACTAAATATAGTCCATACTCTGTTATACGAAGTTACGGCGTTCGCTGGTCAAGAATATTATTATTTTCTTGCTGGCGATCAGCATATACTTTGTTTTTCGTGGGTCATACGTATCTCCCCATCATGTATTAACTTGATTTTACCATTTACATCAAAGAGTATCTTGTTCGGTATGTTTCTGTGATTGAGTGTGGACACAAGCAGGCGAAAACTGTGCATTGAGTTTCTGTGACAGGAGTGGACGGAAATACAGAGAGACAAAGGTGTGAGTGTGTGTTTTATGTGTGTGTGAGTGTAATAGAGAGAGAGAGAGAGAGAGAGAGAGAGAGA